TATATACCTATTTTTACGTCTATTTTTCTCGCTATTAAGAGCCTATTAGCTAATTATTAATAGCTATAGGTAATTCTATTACTTACTAAATATTAGAGTATAGTCCTCCGATATTATATTTAGGATATAGCTAGATAAGGAAGCCCTATCTACCTTATAAGACTTCCGGAGGGTTACGTAGCCGGGCGAGGGTAATATAGGTACTAAGTAAATTAAATACTATCTTTACGGACTAGTTAGAATAGTATAGAGATAGATAAAGCTAAAAGCCTACCTTATTAGCGTTATATATATAAGAGATACCCGCTTTCCGGTAAAAATTAGAAGCTATCTCCGAGGGCCTTAATTAGCTACGAGAAGGGGAAGGAATAAGTAATATATACTAAGTAGCCTAGGCCCTACCTATACTATCTACTAAAGGGAATTCCTATTCGGGATAGATTATTATCTGAATAGCGTCTATAGATATCTTTTTATATAGGACTAATTAGGTCTACTATAAAAGAAAGAAGGTTATTTCTTTTATATACCTAGATTAGTCTAGAAGTCTTAGGATAAATAAATTTTTCCTTATTTTACCTTTTTATCTTCTACTTTTCCTCTCTAGATCTAAGACTATACCGGTACTCCTTAATAATATATAATTCTACTATAGTCCTTTAAAGCCTATAAAATCGCTATATTTTACCTTTAATAGTAAGAAAGGTTCTAATAGTTTAAATATCTTACTATTAGGTAAGTAATATATATTCTTTAATAAACTAGTCTCTTTAGCGACTAATAGCTCGATATTAGCCCTAACTAACTTCCTCTATTTAGCTACTAGTATAGAAGAATATATAATATATTAGTATATATCTAGGTTATCTAACTTATTTAACCTCGAACTAGTAAGATTATAGGAGATAGTAATACTATTATTATATTTACTTAAAGCTAGCGATAGTAATATCTATTCCTCGCTATAGAGGATTAGTAGTTACTACTAAGATAATATAGACGAAACTATACCTAGTAACTATAAGTTTCAAGGTCGGAGCTAGTCTACTTTCTATTTTATTAATCGATTTTTAAATCTAGCTCTTTCCTTCTTTAGTAGGAATTCGAGCGAAAGTATAGAGTTAGATAGTTTAGATATCTTCCCGAGATCCTAACTAAGTTATATAAGTCCTTTATAGCCTTCTTAGTTCCCTTCTACTATAATTCTTTTACCTAAATTAGTAATCTTATATCCTAAGATTATATAATTATATATAATAGAGGATATTTAGTGGAGACAAAACTAATCTTTATATTACTTATACTTTAGATCTTATAGCCTAGTATTAGATATATCTACTATATTTAGTAAATATTCTTCTAATACTCTACTCTCCTCTATCTTATCCTATATAGGTATTATCTCTAAGAAGCGAAATAATATAAATCCTTATATTCCTTTCCTAGATAATTATCCTAACTACTATTCGGATAACTATAAAGAAGTAAACTAAACTAGATTAATTTCGTATTATTCTCCTAGAATTATAGCTAAGTTAGACTCTTATAGACTAGTTAATCCGATATATATTAATATACCTAATTCGATAGATCTCGAATAAGCTAGTAGATATAAGTCTAGTAATTCTTAACCGAGAAAATCTAGTATCTAAAGTAATAAGAACCCTATTTTAGCTTATCCGAGAAAATATAAAGAGAAAGAATACCTATTATCTTAGACCGGAAAATAAGACGCTACTTATTATAAGCGCTACTTATCTATCGCTATAGTTATTTCTCTACTATAGTCTAGGCCTATATAGTATTCAGACTTAAGGCTAAAACCTATTCTATTAAATATATATAAGAGCGAAAGTAGCGAGGATAGGAATAATTCCTCGGACGAAGACTTTATAAGTAATATAATCTAATTAGAGCTTTTAGATATTAAGGATTCTATAGAGGAGAAATATAGTCCTCTAAATAGGACTACTCTATACTATCCTAATAATATATTCTTTAGTTTATTACCTAGGAATTACGAGAGCTATAATATTATTAGATAGATAATTCTTACTATTAAGACCTAGGAATCCGAGCCTACTTTCTTCTTTACTCTTATACCTAATAGTATCCCTTTAATATTATATATTACTATATATAGTCCCTCCTATAACTACGATAAAGTAAGTCGAGTTTTAAAGCCGCTAGTAAGCGTAAGCCGTTTAACTCGCGGGAAAAGTAAACGCCGAACCTATTCTACGGACGAGAATAACTTACTAGTGAAATTAAAGGAGGAAAGAAACTTAATATAGAAGGAAATTACCGACTATTTTCCTAACCGCGCTTCTGCTTCACTTTAGGTTCACTATTCTACTAAATTAAAGTATCGGAGAGCTAAAAGAAGGGGTCCGCAAAGTCGGAGGGGCGGAAAGAAATAATAAATAACATATTTCTATGGATAACTATCATAATCGAGACGCACCGTTATCCGGTAATACTGTCCATGACCGACCGACCTGTATCCTTCCTATATTCCAACGATAGAGCTGATTCACTGAAACTCTAATGATCGCTAGAAAGACTTCGAAATAAACCTAGCAGCCAGTTCCGATGATTCCTGGTGAGGCACCCCGTCCCTACTACGCCCGCATAGCACTTCACTGCATAGAGCATCACATGGTAAGTTTAAACACCAACTAACTGACTCGGAGCTGGCTTCGCACTTGCAGTCTAGCTACCACGTAGTTGCTGTGAAGGCTCCTACATTAGCGCGAGGCTGAATCGTCGCCTTGCAAAGTGAGGCACTAGTCTGCTGCCGATTCCCTTTCAGTTTGAATGATATCCAATACACAGATATCATGTGCCTTCAGAATTGATTGAAGAGGCGGTTTCTATCCAATTGTTTGTCGCCAGGCGAGCTCGGATCAGTGCGACGATCCAGGTCACGCAATGCCAGGGTTCGTGCATTACCACGACAATCGGCCTGTGCCCTGCATATGGTAATCCAATAGTATGACCAACAGAGCGCCAAGTATGCTACAGGATCCCCACTGTCACCTTGCCACTGCTTGCCTGTCCTAGCCCAAAAGCCCGGCTTGTCGTAGGGAACTCGTTCTTTCTGTGTAGATGACATTGGGCCTCTCAAATTTGCCCATTCCCGTATCCCGTATGATTCATATCATGATAGTGCAGCAAGGTTATACAAGTTTGATAAAAGCTCTGAACCAATCCAAATTTAATAAGCAACAAGATGATTGTGCTAATCGCAAAATACTACAGAAAAGCGCGCTTAAGAGAACACTAATTTCGAATGCTGGCGAACGGTAATCTAAATTGTAGCCCAGACCATCCACCTGATACATGAACGAGCGTATCAAGAGCGAAAGGACAAGCTACGTGCCTTTCTCGAGTGCATGAGTAACCTCCCGCTGATCTAACATTCGCGCATACTCCAGAGCTGTGCGACCTTTTGCATCTTTACCATTCAAGTTCGCTCCTTTGCTGACCAAATAGCGAACCACATCCGCTTTGCCGAGTTCAGCCGCTTTATGCAGAGGCGTTCCGAGGTCCATGAAAGAGAATAGCGCCCGAGAAGGATAATGATCCTCGTATCTAGTTGAATTGATAGGTGCCCCTTTCCCTAGAAGAAGGCTTAAGACCGCAATGTTATCCGAATGCCGTTCAATTGCGTGATGGAGAAGTTGGCCTTTTCGAACATCTCCGCCACGACTGAGCATGAGCTGGATGACCGATACTGGCGCGCTCTCGACAGCAAGGGAAAGCGGAGTGAGGTCAATAACACATTGTCGATTAGGATCAGCTCCATGATCAAGAAGCCAAGCTACCATCTCCTCATCTGCAATAGCATAACTGAACAAATGTTGTAATCTTTCGATGACATGGTTAAGGTTATTGGAAAGAGCCTCACCCTAGTACGGGAGGTTTGAGTTCGCTCATAGGCTGGTTGATATTCCATCCGTTTTTAAGGAATACCTCCAGGGCATCCTTTGCGTTCGCATTAACGGCCTCCAGTGCATAGAGCGGATCCATAGGCAAGCCGCGAACAAGGAGCTCTTTGATGAATTGTACGTCGTCTCGTTTGATGGCTTCGATCATTATCGCATAGAAGTCGCATATGTCAAAGCCCTCCGACGAAGAACTTTGTGATTCAAGAATCTCCCGAAATTTCTGAATATCACCGCGAACGCAAGAAGCACGCAATACCTCAAGAGTCGCTGGTGGCGTCCGAGTTGGAATTTGAGGGTAATCGCTCGGTTGGACCGGGGGGTAGTCTGGCGGCGGCAGGACGTCCATAGCGGAGTTCAATGGGAGGTTTTCACAATTTCTTTGTCACACGTACTTGGGGGCTGAATGAAGCGGAAAGTAGATCCTGCGCAGTAGGTGGCGAGGGAGAGGTATTTATGTTGAGTCGAAGTCATCGGACGCCGAATCTGCTTTCCCGTGCACCGGGTTAGCCAATTAGAAGGTGTGCACAATAGGCGGTATTTCGCAGCAAAATGCTATCTTCCGGTTGGTTCCAGATGAGCAAGCAGCCTTATGAACAAGCTGATTGGCTTGTATCCATGGCTGCGAACTTGAACTCTCGTAGGAAGTTTTGATGACAGAATGATCTGTGCAACCGAGGACAGGTTGAGTGAGTCCCCAATTGATCCTGGCCTACAGCGCAGGAGTCAACCAATTGGTTCTGTAGGTAAGCGATCCACTTTCGCGACGCCAGCATGAGTGGGGCTTACAAACTACCAATTGGAGGCTTGCATTTACTACATGTTTTAGGGTGGGCGGCTAGCTTGGGAAAAAGGTGCATTGTACGGAGTACGCAGTCTATCAATTCGAATTAGAAAGCAGCCAGGGACGTGAACCTCATTCTCAGCGCCTTGCATATACTTAGCAGCTTCATTGAGAGACTATAAGTAGCAGAAGATTACTCTTGATAGACATAACCCTTCTAACTTTTCCGAGTAAATATATCACACACTCCTAATTCTGAGATCCCCACAATGTCCGGAATCCTCGCTCAATGGCAAGCCTCTCGTGCAGTTCTTGTGGTCCCAATGGGCGACGTCCAGTTTCTTTCTTTCCAAAAACTGGCGGCAATTGGTACCAGGGACCTTGGATCTTGCTCTGTCGTTCTGTTGAGATAGCTTGGTGGTCAGGCGTGTCACCAGTGTGGTGCGCGCCCACGCACACCACCTTCGTAGCTTAGATAGGCACCTCTCACCAGATTCAATCTCACCATTCCTTTCTCCCCTCTTTTGGGTCTGCTACGATCTCCCAGTAGCCTCCAATACGTTCTCATAGCATCTGCATACGGTGCTATTCTTGCTCATATTCCGCCGCAACCATTGCAACCATCGCCTGATCCGTTTGCCGGTGATAACAACGCCCGTTATATGATGAGTCGAGTGGCTGCTCTTTACCAACAGAATAGAGGGTACTTTCCTTCAGCGGACACTGTTGTCGTTTGTGCTTGGTTCAACGGTGCTGTGGCATTGCCCGATCAAATGGAGATAATGTCCTCGTCTCTTCGGCAATTGGGACTTAATCCAATCATCAGAACATATCATGTGCCTGGGAATCGGAATATTCCTGGCCAGGGAACTGTTATTGCCATCAAGGGTGCCAACCAGCCTACGCCTCAAATATACGTCGAGGATCGTACAATTTAAATGTCTAGCATGTGGAGGAGAAGTGGGCTGTTGAACCTGGCAAGGTGGACGCTGAACTTCATGTCAATTTATTTTATTCATGCGATTTGAATAAGAACAAACAATGCAAGTTGAAGTCGAAAGTGGACTCGGAATAAGGCTTAGATCAACACAGAAGCTGCGATGGAGTTGCCTTGGACTGGCACACGACTCTGAGCCTTTGCGGGAACTTTGCCGCTTGGGGATAAAACATAGACACTTATTGCGTCATTTGTCCTCGGGCGAGGTGTATTTGGTCGTCGCGCACTTTAAGGGAATACTGTAAACTCGCGGCATCCCAACGTGGGCTATTGCCGCCCTTTCATCGAATTGCAGAAATGATTTAAAGCATAGCAAACTATGAATCTCGTGCATTAGCAGGAGGCTGATTTCCTCTCTGTTTTCATCTACTCGTGCAGTCCCACCTGACAATTGGAAAAATTATCTCTAAGGGCGAAAAACTGAAAAAAAAAAAGCTCTTCGCTGTGCAGCGCAAAGGGCCCTACCCCGCTTAAATGAGGCGTAACTTACGCCGCTTTCCCAGGGCGCAACTTCAGCGTCTGCTGCCGCCTAATTGCTGTGGGCATGGAACGTCTGGCGGCAAGGTTGGCACGAGGGGCTAGATTGAGACATCTGTGGAGGATCATTCGTAGGCTAGACGAACAGACTGGTAGAATTTCAACCATAAATGGGGCACCCGCTAGGCACGGGCCGCCTGGTAGTGTGACGGGGAGGGCATCTCTTCTCCCATATTGGCAGGCCCCCATCGGGACCCACCCAGGCTTCTTAACCCTTGCCCTAAATCGTATTGTGGCGCTGATGTTGAGCTAAAGTCTAGCGGGCTGGACTACTCCCCTTGCTGATTGGATGCGAGACTCTGCTGTATAAGATTCGAGGCAACCCCAAAATACAAGGATAATGTGGCGTTCTTGTCGCCGAGAGTCTGCATCCATTCTAATTTTGATCCAAATCAACATAGGCATGCACGGTCATTCTCCAAGAATGTGATCTGGGCCTAACTATACGTTCAAAGGTGGGGTTTTACCTGTGATCAGGATGAATCAAATGTAAGCCACGCGCACAGTCCTCTTTGGTTTTAATCTGGAGCTAGTTGATTTCAAGGCATCCAATAAAGAAGGTCTAGTCCCCAGTGACCCCACTGTGATACCGGCGTCACCTGCATTTCCTGTTGGGTTGAGCTCCACTATCAGTTTTGGCAAAACTGATTGTGGAGCCCGCCAATGCCTACGTTGTTCATATTACTATGTTAATGGGCCCACTTCACATACGCTTTCAAGTCACCCAAAAAATGGATCTCTTAGGGGCCTTGAACTTCATACGCAATGTTTCCGACGAATCCCTTCACACGCACGCTACACAGACAATTTTGACGCTCAAAGAGATTGGAAAGCGACTTCAGTTCAATTTAATACCCAGCCCATCCTCTGTGGTGGCCACTCCGCTATGCATTGAATCTGATGGGTCGCGGCCGCCTACAAACTCGGCGGTGCACACTGCGAATAATCTTTGTCCCAGCCCATCCGAAAGTCTCTCAGCCTCTACATCTCAAGCGCATTCACCTATACACGAAACTCAGGATCCCCTAGAGCAAATCGCTCCGGCTACAGAGAAATTAGAGGGAAAGAACCAAGGAAAGAAACTCGGCACTCTCAAATCTCTCTTGCGAGGCATTCAAAGAGAGACCTGGTGGCTTCTCGAGGCCCGACAACTTGAAGACGATTTTATTTTATCACGCAAGCGAAAAATGGGAGAAGACATTCGATGGCAACATATTGCAATCCCAGAGGGTGTCAGATCAAATGATCCAGTGTCCAAACTACGCCGTGTTCTTGCATTGAGATCAGTAGGGCAAGAGTACCAAAATAAGCAGGAAAAAAATGGTATTTCTCCAACAAGACTCGAGGAACTCTACAATCACCTGTCCTCTCCCGAAACCTCGACTTTGAACCTGAATGCCAACCACACTGTCAAAGAGAAGTTCCAAACCAGATCCTTACATTGTGGACTTAGACATTTGTTAATTGAAAAAGCACTGAACGCTCTTCTTGCAAAAAAAGGTCTTGTGGGGACTTATCTTGTAAGTCAAGACGGGAATATAAGAGAAACCCTATCACGAACTAGCGGCTCGGTTTTACGGACGCCTCTAGCTTTACTACCGAAAGGGCGTAGGTCCTCTCGGCTTTTGAATGCCTAGAAGAGGGACTATATAAATCTAACGGGGGCAGAATCGAGGAAGAGAAGAAAGCGGTAAATTCTATAGCGTTTAGAAAAATATGCTAATAAACCTTCGCTCGGGTATATAGCTACGGAAGGAACGATCGAAGTGGGTCCTTAGTATTATAATTATAAGATAGGCCGCTCCTTTCCTTTAAGTAAATCGGTCCTTATACTTAGCTTAAGGTTTACCTTTCTCTTATCTAGACCTTATCTAATAGCGAATATATAAAAGATTCTCGCCTATTAAATCTCCCGGCTAACGAGTTCTCGTCATACTAGCTAGATACCGCGTTTATAATGAATATAATAGCCTTAATATTATTTAAATATTTTGTAGTTAATTCGGTAATCGTACGATACGGTTACTAAACTTCTATAGCCCTAATAAGGACTAATCCCGATAAGATCCGGAAATATATTAATAAGATTATAGAGTATGATTATAAGTAAGAAGTTAGTATTATTTAAAGGGATAATACTCTAGTAGTTAGTAAGGGTTTATAAAATCGATATAACGAAATAATATTCTGGAAAATTATTCTTAAGGGTACTACGCTAATCGATTATACGAAGCTACTATCCGCGAAAGGCCCTACCGACGGATTTACTGTAGCGGAGAAAGCTACGACTAGAAAGTTTATAGAAGACGCTAGATACGGATTGAGTGTATAAAACTAGTAATACTACCGAAACTTTTGGAAAAACTTATTTAAAATACGTGAAGTCGGAATCGAAAAAGCCCTCTACTACCGTACTAAGGAATTCGATAGTTACTATAAAGGTTATCCGAAGACCTTAGAAATCTTACTTATAGATATAATTCTAAGGTAGGAGACTAAATACAGACCTTATATTAAATAACTAGAGACACGGGCTCTTAGGATCGGTAAAGGCGATTATACGCGCCTATATAATCTTGAAAATCCTGAGGTTATAGAGAGGTTGAAAGTCCGTGAGTCGTCTTGGAATAATAGCAGAAATGATTAGGCTTCCCTTAACGAAGAAGAAAGCTTTAAGGTAATAGGGTAACTAGTATTTCCCCCTAATACTATATACGTACCTTTCGAGAACTATTCGGTCTTAGAATTTGGGGTAGATAAGTCCGCGTTTACCTTTCTCCTACCTAAAAACGATACCTTATTCGTCTGTTCTATCATCCTAGTACGCGAGGGAGACTTCCTCGGTATCTTTACTAGCTACATTAGCTTTTCGACGGACGTGAGCGTCACGTACGGTATCCGCGGCCCTGTTGACAATCTGTAGCTAGATTACTCACAGGTTACTAGTACGCTGAATCAAATGCTGGTGTTAGAACCCGATGGACCAGCAAACGTCTGCCTCGCGTGGGAAGTAATATCTGATGATATTGGGACAGAGACTCGGACCTTATGGAGAGTTTCTGTGAAAGCCACGAAGTCAATCATGTCGTTTGACCCTCTCGTTCGTGTGGCTGCTGAGCAAGAGCAATTTATGTTCTATTCGTCCCCCGAGAATGCAACGAGAGGCTTTCTTGTACCTTGCCAAACTGACTGATAATAGCATGGACTAACACGATGTCTGGAGCTAGTTCGCAATAATATGTATTCCAAATGATGTTCAGACCCGGCTCACATGGCTAGGTCGTCTTTAGATTCTAATCGTAGGAGTAGATTGAGCAATTTGAGTGCAGCGGTTCCTAGAGGACAACTGCGAGTCTCTGCTCAACTGAAGCGTCTCTGGCATCGCCCTGACTGCACCATGAATTGGTGGTCAGAGATAAACATAGGCTTATAGAGCACCTCCATTAGCTCCAGGAACATGTGAGTCGATCCGGGGAGCTTTGTTGCTCCTGAAACCCACGAGCGGCATCTCCGATAAAAATGGGGGAGAGGGGGGCAGTGCACCGGGCTGAAAGGGAAGGCGCAGCAGTTGGTGGGGGCCAGAGTGAAAGAAGGGGGAGGCAATGAGTGCAAGGTACCTCATACCGTAGAGAAGAAACGACGTTGAAAGGGCGAGGTTGGCGGCATGAAAAGAGGATACGGGGTTTTGGCACCAAGCTGGGAACGGGCAAAACTAATCATTAAAAGCAAGTCGCTGCTGAGCCACACGCATCCAGAATCCCTGCCCCGGAAGTAACTTAGTACTTTTTTATCGAGGATGAAGCCAATAATATTGAAAGTGCACAATATTCTTTGTCATCCATTTTGGGTCTGCCGCCTATTTAAGTACAGCATGCCCTCAAATGTTGGCAGACTCTACTTTTGTCTCTCCACCCGCCAGCCTATCTTCTCCTACCTCATAAAGGTCTCGCCCACATTAGGCCAGGAAGCAAAGTTCATAATAAGCATGGAAAACGACGGGGAAACAAGGAAGGGAAACGGAGTATCCCTCAAGCGAAGCAGTGCGTTCCCCGCGCTCCCCTACCCTCCCACGAACACATAAGCTACGTGAGCTATACTGACATTCTTTTGGCGATCAGGAATGGACTTCGAAGACGATGGGTCGACGGAAGATGACATTGGAAACGACGAATTCGATGACTCCGAGGAAGAAGAATGGTGGAAGGAAGATGAGAGCAGCGATGATAGCGAAGAAATGGATTGTGAACAGGACATTGAAGAGCACGAGTATACCGCCTCCGGTGACCCGGCACGAACGCTGAAGATTCGGCTTTTTTTGACCGACGAACAAGTAGGCGGATCCAAATGGATGAAAACTTTGTCGCCAAATGCACTTGCGATGGCGTCGCTGTCGCAACCACTCTGGCTCGGTATATTCATCGAGAGGGCGTGCGCTCTGAATTCTGGGAAAGGATGGAAGAGCCCAGCGAGGAAACGTGCGATGTGGCCTTCCATGTCTTTCATCGATACGGGACAGTCAAGACCAAGTACAAAGACCACCCAGTTCAAAGAGGAACTGGTATATGGGGGAAACAGCTTGATCATGGCCCTCTTTTCCTAATCGAAAACGTTCATGTTACAGCAATGGAGCTACGTCGGAAAGGGCTGGGACAAAGAGTAGTGTCTTTGCTGTTGGAAAAGGCCAAACGGTTCTGGCTAGACGATAAGCCAGACGGTGAAGACGCAGATCTTTTCTACGGTTCCAATGAGGCGTTTGAGCGAGCATGGACTCTACATGCTCTAGTCAGCCCCGGAATATTAACACCTGATATCGAATCGCAGTTAGTGGGCAAGTCTGCAGAAGAGCGCTTAATGACGCGGGTTCGAGTTCAATCCGGAGCCATTGACTTTTGGCGATCGTGCGGTTTCCGCCGAATCGGAGCATCTCGATGTTTTGCATTTTCGTTCGATCTCCAGCATCAGTCTCGCAACCTTGGTTTAACTTCTGATTTCGATCCGCGTAGAAGCCATGCTGAAGATCTTGAGGACGAGGAATTGGAAGTTATCTATGAAGCAGACCGTTCTACTGAGGTGAAGAGACTGAAAATGGACAGACTTCGTGACTCGTTGCCGCTGCATCATGCGGCTCTTACTCTGACGGACGAAGAACTCAAAGCTTTTTTCGTCTCCCATGTTTCCGGTGAGTTTGGCTGGGATCGAGTGACCAATTCTGAAGCCACGCTTCTGCATTTAACGGCATCCGAGCTTAAGCCTCTGAGCACACGGTGGCTACTGGAAAATGTTCAACACGCCGACACCTGGAAGACAGCCCGTGATATTGATGGGTATACACCACTCGAGGCATTGCAGGAGAAGTTAGAGATAATGCGTACACGAAAGTCATTTGGCCTTTTCAGAATCTTGAATGTGTCAGATCACTTTAAAGGGTATCCCGACACCGCAGTGTACTGTCTCTCCATGTTGTTGGAAATGGATGCTTCAGGGCTTGATAAAGCATGTCTCCGATATGGGTGTACATGCGGAGAGTGCCTGGAAGGATTTATATCCCCTCGAATGAGGAGCTCTTTGATCTGTCAGGGCGAGACCAACTACGACCTCAATCAGGAGGAAATTGATGATGGCAGCTTTTGGATACAGGACAACGACTACACCCTCGTGCACCTCGATCCCGATGTGCGAAGGAACCTCAAAACCAAAAAATCACTGCGAAAAGGCTTTGTAAATATTTTCCGGATCGCTGTGGAGTGTCTCAATGCTGGAAGAGCTCCCACTGCTGCAAATATCGAGTGGCGCTGTAACAATCGGAGCGAGTGGCCACCGGATACCAAGAACTACCTGCGACGCGCTGGGACGCAGATGGGCTGTCGGGCAGTGCTTCGGTACATGCTCGATGTTGCTAAGGAAGAGGATGAGAAAGCAGGTAATGGAGAGTGTCAACTCATATTGAAGAAGGAATGGTCAGACTTACCGACTTGCAGAAACGATCACGAGTTTGAATTTGCTGCCAGGGCTTGTGGTTACAGTGATGATGATTTTATTTCGTTCCCATGTTAGTAGATCAATAGCTTTTTCCCACTATAAAAGCAGCAATAGATGTGTGTTTGCGATACTTTTGACCATGTCCAAAAATAATAACAGCCAAGACGGAGAGGGGTTTGTCGTGCTTCTCCAGTAATGCATTAATATAGCAAGAGCAAGAGTACAGAGCGCCGGAACTACTTTCAGCGAGCAGAACTAAAGATTGTAAAGTTTAGCGAGTTTACTTTGAGCAATCAGTTGTATTGGAGGCTACAGGGAGATCGTAGCAGACCCAAAAGAGGGGAGAAAGGAATGGTGAGATTGCATCTGGTGAGAGGTGCCTATCTAAGCTACGAAGGTGGTGTGCGTGGGCGCGCACCACGCTGGTGAGACGCGCCAAACCACCAAGCTATCTCAACACCCCCTGGACCTCGATCCACCAATCTCAATCAAAACACGAAAAACATGAAAAGTGATCATATAAATATATTGATAACGCCTTAATATAGCTTTTTGAGCTTAAAAAGGTATTTAAACCCTTAGAATTAAGCTCGTTAGAAAGGGTATTAAATCAGAGCTTTTTTATACCTAAAAGGTGTAGGAACCTCTCGAATTAGACTCGCTATAGTAGCTTAGTAAAGCTATCTACTACCTACTCTATAGTAGAGATTTTAACGAATTTATATACCCCCCTAGAGACTTAGTCTCTAATATAATAGTATTTAACGTTAATATACTTCGTTTGTTAGTATAAATCATAGCTTTTAGTAAGGTAAATAGCGCCTTAGTTATCCTTATAGATTATAGTAGGAAGTTACAAAAGGGACTCTATATTAAGTTCCTTAAGAAAGAGCTATAGCTATAATATCTCTTAGATAGCTAAAGATATAGCTATATACTTACTTTCTGTAGAGGAAAGAGTAATATATATTTACTTTTTATAAGCCTAAGTAATTATACTATTCGTAAGCTTAAAAAGGAAGCCGGAGGTTAATATACTACTATCTATATATTTACCGGCCTAATCTATATTAACAAATCTAAAGAGGGGGTCTGGTAAGTAAGAATACGCGATAGTAAGCGTTTTAGAATCCTTAAGATATCGAAAGATACGCTTTAATATAGTTATATACTTCGTAGAGGGGTTATATATATATCTTATAAGCTTTATAACTATAAATATAATATCTAGTCGTATATTAACTATTAGCTAAATAAGTAAGCCTACTATCTTACGGTAAGCTTTAACTTCCGCCGGAGTAGTAGTATCCTTACGTAGTTATAGGATCTTCTTATTATAAAATAGCGTAGGGACTATATATATATCTTATAGGTTGAATTTTATAAGGACCTTTCGAATATAGACGAGCTAAGAGAGCTTTACCTTACTATCTATATAAACGATATTAATCGTAAGGAATCGCGTAGTAGTACTATTATTAGTAATATCGAAGGATTTTTGAATATAGTCCTTAAGCTATATAAGAGATATATCTAAAGGCGTGATAATTAGTATATTATTAATATATATAAGAAGATAGAGCTTACGTTTAATATATATAAATACCGAATAGTCCGCTTATAAGCGAATAAATCTAATTACTATTAGAGCCCTATAGATAGTATTATACTATTCGCGAGGACTCTATTTTAGACCGTATAAAGTCTTTAAAAGAAGGCCGTATTTTCTAGGCTCTTTAAAACTATTAGGAAGTTAAATATAGATTTCTTTAAGAAGCTCTATATTAAGAAACGCCGTAATAAAGTTAATATAATATATCTACTAGCCGAAATACGTAGCGATTACGCAGAATATTTTGAAGCTTAAAGCTTTAGCTATACTTATATAAATATTAAGATAATCGATTTCTTTACGTTACTTAAACCCTTTTATAACGAGACGCG